TGTAGCGACGTGCCCGAAACTCGGGGCCGAGCGAGCCGCAAGGCTGAGGGCATGCGAGTGAAACTTGGGTTTTTTTTTCCGTGCCTTTCCCCTGGAGCAGCGCTCGGCTGTGCGTGTGCTCCACCAGACCGTTTAAAACCGCACGTTTCCCACGCCGCCGGTGTCCTTAGCAAATAACTACAGAGACGTTATTCGGGTAGTCTGGAGAGAATTTAGGAGCCACGGTTCGCCAGCTTAGACTTTTAAATCCGTGTGTGGGCATCCGTGTGTAAGTGGCCTGGTTTTCAAGGTGCAGCCGCAGCTCCCAGTGACTCCCGATAGCTCAGGGGGCACCTGGACGTGATGTGTGGCTTTAAAAGCCTAACTTTGGACTTGGCAGTATGTATTTCATGTACGTGCTCTGTCAGAATTATGTGCTCAGGCTCAGCCTGCTACTCTTCATTCTTTCTTGAGATGTGCGGTATGCAAATGTAATTTATTGCTACTGTTTCTCGTCAAAATTCATTCTGAAATGCCTTTTCCCTTTTTTCTTTTTCTTTTCTTTTTTTTTCCATCCTAGGTGGACTTTTCATGAGGAACACTGTTCAGGAGCACAGTGCATTTCGATTTGCTGTGCAGTTATACAACACAAACCAAAATACCACAGAAAAGCCCTTCCATTTGAACTATCATGTAGATCACTTGGACTCTTCAAACAGTTTTTCAGTGACAAATGCTTGTAAGTAAATACATGCTTTTTAATATATATTTATCTGCTATCTGTCCTTACATTCCGTTTCTCCCTGGTAGCCTAGAGTTCTTGTTTATACAACATAGTGCAACAAATGCGTGTACTGACATGAGGTTTAGTAGATTTGCAGCATTATATGGTTGAATAATACCTTAGGGAAAGTTCTCTCGCCACTTCTTTTCACCCCTTTAGTTTTGTTTTCCGGAAAACCAGCCATGTTATTTATATAGCAGAGCTGTGTAGCTGTGATCAGTGAATTGCTGCTGAAGTAACATCCCTTTTCTGTTGAGGCTACAACCTAGCCATGGGAAACAGCATGATTTGCAAATAATACCATGTAGGAATAAAACAGAAACAGCTGTTTACAAGTGACCTTGAGGGGACAAAGCTAGAGGGGCTTACTCCTCTCCTCTGCCCTGAAATTCTGGGTTGTTTTGTTCCAGTGAAAGTCCTGTTAAAAGGTGAGGAGACTGTAAACTGACAAATACCGTTAGAGCTGATGGGAGAGAAAATGGAATCGGAACGCTTAGCGTTATGAGAAATAGCTCTGCACAAGGAGTGCACACATATAATTCGAGCCTTTGTTAACAGAAGAAGCAACATAGAACTTTGAGTAGTGTTAATGTGGTATTAAGAAGTGAAATCTGTTTCTGAAAGACTGGTGTGTGTTCCGCGCAAAAAAGCATTCCTTTACCGATAGTAGTTCCTGAATATTTGCTTCACTGATGTGTCCAAATCTGGTTTTATACAGTTTTTACTGTAAACCTTTGAAAGTGAATGGAGCCTTCTTGCAAGGTAGTTGCATGCATTTTGCAGTATACGGAAATACGTCTGTACATGATCTAAAGGACCTCTGAATGCAATGTGCTAACTTTTGTGTTATGAACAGGATTCCTGTTCATATACTCGCAGTGTAAAGTGTTCAAAGAGGAAGCATTGTACTAAAATAATGATGTATTGGCGTACAGAAACTAGTATATCTTGTTTTAAAACAACAATTTCATGTTCTGAATATCTCATTAATTTTTTGTTTGTTGGGGATAGGATAGTTTGTACAGTCCTGTCCCACGCTGTATAATCGGAAGGCTGGACAATTAGATATTTTATTCTTCTAGGATTTCAGGTATTTTCTGAGAAAATGATTAGAAAATATATAACAAGGCAATATTTGGACAAATTTTGGATTGATATTCTAACATATCCCCCATGTGACTGCTTCTTGCTAGTGCAGCGTTACACTTTTTAAAGGGCTTTGAATTAGGACCTTTAAAACTTTTGCAGGGGGGTTAATTAAATAATATCCAATAAAAATATTTGGTAAAGTGGAAAAAAATTGTAAATAAAAGCATGCCTGTACTTCACATCTTATTTTACTAATCCTATACAGCCTCAACAGTTCCGACAACAAACATCAGACTATTAATCCTTAATCAGTGTAATCCCTTCAAGAGGCTGTATCTCAAACATAGTTTCCTAAATATCAATTATATGGGTTTAAACTAAATACATTAAACTGCTTGGGTGATTAATTATTAATTGGTTTTTAAAAGTTATACCAGCACTTCTTTACAGATCCAACCAAGACAGGTGAACCACACGCTCGTTCCGAGGCAGTCAATGTACTATTTAGTCAGTGTGCTTCTCATCTTCTGATATCTAATGATTTTTGTCTTTGCTTAGTGAAAGCTGTGGCGATTGTAGTAAGATGAGATGGTTTTCTGTAGTATAGGGCTGCGTGTTCCAACACATATATTACCAGTGTAGTAAAATTGGGAAAACTTAAATCTCTGGAGAAACCATGGACCAGAGAATACTAGCCTACAGTAACCTGTTTAAAAATAGATGATGTGAAAAAAGAAACAGAAGGAAGGAAACGAAAAGGTGACCTTGTCCATAGCTATGTCAAGCATCTGGTAATACTGTTGGTAGGAAAAAGATACTGTGAGTCCAAGTCACCAGTCACCATCTCAGTAGCTCAAAATAAAAAAAAAAAAAAATAGAAAATAGAGGAACAGTGGCTCTTTTTGGATCTGGAAGTAATGGTCTTTGAAAGTCAGAAAGCTCATGCATACCGGTGCATTAGGATCAGCTAATAGCTCCTCACACTGCCTGGTTAACATGTAAAACATTCTGTCCTGAGTACCCTTAATCACGTCCACACTTCCCAGTGGAGTGGCAGCTACTTTCAGGGTGCTAAAAAAAAAGGAATTCTTTCCACAACGTTTTTACTTCTCTTGGAGATAAGCATAAATTGTCTCCAGTGCTGTCACACAGCCGTTTGATCAATATTTGCAATTGGCAGGGATCCATAGGAGAGAAACCTGCAGTGATGCTGACTGCCTTCACTGGAGAGGGAGACTGTGGCTGACTTTGTGGTGGGATGGGTGAAGGAACTGAAGGGAAATCGGAGAAAGTAGCATGTGTAGCTTGAGCCTAGTACCTGTACTAGTCAGTATCCATAAAATAATACTTTTTATTCTCCTTTGCTTTGGTTTATATGATAGTGGCTGTAGTAAGTATGGATGTGTGCAGGAATTGAGGGGTCTCTGCTCAGGGAAGACTTATGTCCTTAGTGTACAAGCTGCATATCCCGCTTGGTGCAATCTGGTGCATTCCAGAGGCAGGAGAAAAAAAAACCCTTCTGAAGCATCCTCATGAGCCAGAGATAAAAAGCCCACCTCTGGTCGGGCTGATTTGGCAGTAACCCAACATGAGAACAAACTTGTTTAGAAGCAAAAGAAAATTCCTGCCCTAAGCCCCTCCCTCTCATTCCTTTTTCAGTTAAATGATGCATGATCTGATTCATGTGCATGTATTCCCTGCTTCACTGCTAGCACCGAGCCCCTCTCTGTATGTTTAATTTACACGCATGCATACAGTATTCATCTACTCTGTATTTATCTGCCCACCTATTTATTTAACTGTACGATAACAGAGAGCAAATGCAAACACAGATGAAAATTCCAGTGTGTTTAAAGGTGAATTGAAGTTTATCAGTTGGCTCTGGGGAGATTTATTACATCTTTTAAAGTATGCAGCTTTTTGCCGTCAAGAAAAAACAAAACAAAAAGGAAGAAAGTTAAACTTGACCTGTGAATGAATAAAACCAACTAAAACATGGATGTTATATTTTCTTCAAAAACACTCATGCAGGGAGCGAGCTGCCTTTTTCAGAATGATATGAATATGATAACTCAAATCTATAAATTCATCACTGAAGTGTCTTTCATGCTTTTCTTATAACCTCCGATGAAGGATGTTAGTATTAATGTTGAATTATGCGTACAGCTCTGTAGATCATATTCCCTAGAAATAAGCCGCGTATGTCTTTCTGCTCTGCACTTGTAGTGCACTATACTAACACTGCTCTAGCCTCTGCAGTGTCAGCTCATTAGCACACAGATCTCATATTCCCTCTCTGCACTGTCATTGCAAAAAATTGCTGTTGTACACCTTTACAGCCAACAAATGTGCACTTGCTTTACGTACAGTTTTCAGGAAATATTTAGAAAAGTAAACTCAACCGTATATGTAGTCCCCGTGGAATTTCCCAAAAGAAAGCATTAGTTTTCATTAAAATCTGTTGATCATGTAATGATAGTGGTGGGATGCGTATGGGTGAAAAGGGGCTGTGATTGCAGAATCTAATTAATCTACAGGCAGATTCCCTCGCTCAGCTAAACCTAACCTATCAGCTGCAAATTCTTGCCCTGGTAATTTTTCTGAGTCATTTCTCATACATCTTCTGAACCCAGAAGGCTTTATATATTTTACCAAACGTTGATGTGTGGTGTTTTTTTCCACAGGCACTCGTTCTTTCAGAGACCAAAAAAAAGAGGGAAGATACAAAGCCGTGCTTACCTTAAGTTGCTGAAATCCTGTTTGTGATTGTATGGACACTTTCTTGAGGGGGGCTGATTTCAGACTTTCTTAGAAAATTTTCTTTAGCATCCTTGCAGTCCTTGTGTTTAATCTTTAAAATTCAACTTGGAAGATTTTAATGGAAAAAGTGCCTGTTTGTTGTTGCGAGAATGTTGCAGAAAATGATCTCACAGAGTTAGCAGAAGATCATTTTTCCAGTTTACTGTATTACTCCCTTTCCCAAAGCACAGGGGCATATATATGTATATATATGCGCTCACATGCATACTCACTCGCACGCATGCACACACACACACTTTTTCCTTAGGTGCTGCTCAGCATTTCTTTTTGCCAGTGGGCAGATAATTTGCTTCCTTGCATCTGTGTGCTCTTTGGCCAGCTGGCAAAGGACACTGATGCTGAAAGTGGTCAGCTTCCTTCTGCCAAAAACATAAGCATGTCTCACTGAAAGTCTTGCCAGGTTTGGACTGTGTACTGGTGGTTTTGCATGAGTAGAGACTACGGGGTATTCCGATAAGGAATGCACTGTGGTTTCTCCCAGCATTCTGTGGGGAAATACCTGGAAATGTACTTTCTACACATCTCTGTTCATTACAGATCCCTAAAAACGCCTTTTATGCTGCAAAATGTGCTCAAGTATTGTATGTTACTGCTGTGGGACAAAGAAAATCAGCTGTCTTTAGCTTAGGGGTCAAAGCTTTTGCAGTGTTGAGGTAGGTGGAAGGGTGAAGGGTGTGTTCCAATTAAAGTTTGTTTCCACTTTGTGGCAGAACGGATGATTTGTCATTGAGCTGAATGGGATCTCAGTGTTAGCAGAAGGAACCATACTGCTTTCAAGTATATTTTATTATTTCTTACATTAATTTTTTAAAAAGTTGACTCTCCTTTCTCTCCTCCTCTGCTACATGCATAGCTTTTACATGCTGTTTAGATGTTAGGATTGCATTTAACTCATGCTGTAGAGATGGAAAAAATCTCATCTGAATGGATGCTTTTGAGAATCTCTGGATCCACCAAATGAATGAAGAGTAAAGCACAATAAAGAGCGCCGTTTACTTGTTCGGTTTTGGAAACATTTTGTGCAGATCCAGAGATTAAATTGTTCA